CCCCCCATTTTCCTGTAGGGTAAGACAGATTTCCATACCAAATTGAGTGTGTATGTTATTCCCTCCTTAAGTCAAATTCTATGAGAATAAGATTCACTCATTCCCTCTCACCTTCCCCGGTTTCCCCTCCACTGTAAAAGCCTTTTTTTTTTTCTGTTTTTTTTTTTTTTTGTGAGATAATTTACCCCGTTCTACCTCTCCCTTTCTCCTTCTCCTAGTATAATCCTCTCTCACCCCTTAATTTTATTCTGCAGATATGACCCCTTCATTTTCAACTCACCCTGTGCCCTCTATCTATCTATCTATCTGTCTGTCTGTCTATCTATATCTATATGTACACACATATAATTTTTTCCCCTCCAACTACCCTAGTACTGACAAAGGTCTCATGAGTTACAAATATCATCTTTCCATGCAGGAATGTAAATAGTTCACCCATAATAAGTTTCTTATGACTTTCTCTTTCCTGTTTACCTCTTCATGTTCTACTTGAGTCTTGTATTTGAAAGTCAAATTTTCTATTCAGCTGTGGTCTTTTCATCAAGAATGCTTGAAAGTCCTGTATTTCACTGAACAACCATTTTTTCCCCTGAAGGATTATACTCAGTTTTGCTGGGTAGGTGATTCTTGGTTGTAATCCTATCTCCTTTGCCCTCCGGAATATTATATTCCATGCCCTGCAGTCCCTTAACGTAGAAGCTGCTAAATCTTGTGTTATCCTGATTGTGTTTCCACAATATTTGAATTGTTTCTTTCTGGCTGCTTGTAATATTTTCTCCTTGACCTAGGAACTCTGGAATTTGGCTACAATATTCCTAGTAGTTTTCCTTTGGGGATCTCTTTCAGGAGGTGATTGGTGGATTCTTTCAATTTCTATTTTGCCTTCTGGTTCTAAAATATCAATCCTTGATGATTTCTTGAAAGATGATATCTAGGCTCTTTTTTTGATCATGGCTTTCAGATAGTCCAATAATTTTTAAATTCTCTCTCCTGGATCTATTTTCCAAGTCAGTTGTTTTTCCAATGAGATATTTCATATTGTTTTCTAATTTTTCATTCTTTTGGATTTGTTTTACAGTTCTTGATTTCTCATAAAGTCACTAGCTTCCAATTGCTCTATTCTAATATTTTTAAGGAAGTACTTTCTTCAGTAAGCTTTTGGACTTCCTTTTTCATTTGGCCAGTTTTGCTTTTTAGGGCATTCTTCTCCTCATTGGCTTTTTGAACTTCTTTTGCCATTTGGGTTAGGCTATTTTTTAAGGTGTTATTTTCTTCAGTATTTTTTTGGGTCTCCTTTAGCAAGCTGTTGACTTGTTTTTCATGATTTTCTTGCAGTACTCTCAGTTTTTCCTCTACTTTTCTTACTTGCTTCTCAAAATCCCTTTTGAGCTCTTCCAAGGCCTGGGACTGATTAATATTCTTCTTGGAGGCTTTGTATTTAGGAGCTTTGGCTTTGTTGTCTTCTTCTAGTTGTATGTTTTGATCTTCTTTGTCACCAAAGTAAGATAATATAGTCTGACTCTTTTTTGTGCTGCTTACTCATGATCCCAGCCAATTACTTGAGTTTTAAACTCTTTGTTAAGGTAGAAGTCTGTTTCCAACGTGGAGAATATACTGTCCCAAGCTTTGGGGGTTTGTACAGCTGTTTTCAGAGATACTTCTAGGGACCTGAAAATTTTCACTTCATCCAAGGTGCTATGATAAGGGGCAAGGTGTTTTCTCTCCACCGCCACAACAAGCTTCACCACACCAGCATTCCTCCTCGCCCCAGTATCCCCCCTCAGAACTGTGACCCAGATACAAGCACAGGTAAAGCAAGAGATTCCTGCCTCAGCTCTGGCAAAGAGATCCCTGCACTTCCTCTCTGATCAGCTACTTGATTCCCCTTCAGTCTGTGGGCTGGAAGCTCAGGAAAAAGCCGCGGCCCTGGACCGCGCTGGAGATATGTGGCTGAGACCTAGCTCCTTCTCTCATCTCAGTCACAGACTTTTCCCACTGACCTTCTAAGTTGTCTTTGGTGTTCGTGAGTTGAGAAGTCTGGAAACCACCACAGCTGCCGGCGATTCAGCCCTCTGAGGCCTGCTCCAGGGTTGCTGCGGCATGCGCGCCCATGCCAAATTGGGCTCCTCTCCCTGCCCAGCACCATATACCTTTCCCATCAACCATCCAGGCTGTCTTTGGCTGGAAATTTGTATCACTGTGTCTTTTTGTGGGTTGTGCTGCTTTAGAATTTGTTTAGAGCCATTTTTTATAGGTATTTGGAGAGGTTTGGGGGAGAATTCAAACAAGTCACTGCTTTCCCTCTGCCATCTTGGCTCCGCCCCCCAAGTCTAATGTGTTTCTATATTCACCTCTTTATGTGTGTTATGTTCAACTCTTCCCTTGTTCAGTATAGATGAGAGTGAGGTTTATGTGATACTTGTTCCTCTTGCCCTTTTCATGTTTGTATATTTTTTTCTCTCAAATCACCCAGTTGTGAGAAACAGTAAGTTCTACCATTTTCTCCCTTATTTCTTTTGTGGTATTTTCTTTCCCCCCTCTTTTCTTTCTATAAGACTATCAGAACAGGACAAGACCACTCCTGTGCCCTCTGTTTTGACTCTTAACTTTAACTTAACTCTTTAACTCCCTTTTTGACTCTTAGGGTTTTGAAGGGACACTTACTTATCCTCGTTTTGGAATATAAGGACTTAATCGTCATTCAGCGTCTTTAAATTATGCAAATGTTTTTACTTTTTTATGTTTCTCATGGCTCTTGTCTTAACATTTCAAAATTTCTCCTCAGCTTGGGTCTTTTCATCTGGAATACTTGAAAGTTCTTTATTCTGTTAAAGGTCCACCCTCCCTACTCCACCCCTTAGTTCCCCCCATGATTGTACTCGGTTTTCAGGGCAAATTATTCTTGGTTGTATGCCTTTATCTTTTGCTTTTTGGAAAAGCAAGATTTTCAGGGGCAACTAGGTGGAGCAGTGGATAGAGCACTGGCCCTGGAGTTGAGGACCTGAGTTCAAATCTAGCCTCACTAGTTGTGTGACATTGAGCAAGTCACTTAACCCTGATTACCTAGTCATTAAAAAAAAAAAGATTTTCTCTTGTTAGTATTTGTTAGTGCCAAGTTGTTGTGTGATCTTGTACTTTTTCTTTTTGACTGCTTGCAGTACTTTTTCTTTGACCTGGAACCTTAGATTTTGGCTATACTATTCCTGGGAGCTTTTATTTTGAGTTTTGTTCAGGTGGTGACTGGTGACTTCTTTCTCTTTTCACTTTGTTTGCTGATTCTTATGGATCTGGCTAGTTTTTATTAAAGATTTCTTGAAATATGGTATACAGAATTTTTGTTTGGTCATGGTTTTCGTGGAATATATTGATTCTTAAAATATCTCTACTTGATCTTTTCCCCAGATTATTTTTGACAGTAGATACCTTATCTTACATTTTGTTCTGTTTTTTAGTCTTTGAATTCTATTTGCTCTATTATGACTCTCAAGGAGTTTGTGGGTGATATTTCCACTGTTGCTTTGGTGTTTGTGAGTTGAGAAGTCTGGAAACCACCACAGCTGCCGGCGATTCAGCCCTCTGAGGCCTGCTCCAGGGTCCCTGTGGCCTGCGCACCCATGCCGAACTGGGCTCCTCTCCCCACCCAGCACCATATACCTTTCCCATCAACCATCCAGGCTGTCTTTGGCTGGAAATTTGTTTCACTGTGTCTTTTTGTGGGTTGTGCTGCTTTAGAATTTGTTTAGAGCCATTTTTAAAGATTTTTTTTTTTTTGGGAAAATTTTGTTGTTTGCCCAGCTCTAATCTTTTTGTCACTTCTCCTGTTCTGTATGGTTTCTCAAAGATTACTGACAGTGATTCTGTCATAATATCTGTGAGTTCAGACTCCTGGGATGCAATTTGACAGGAAGAGCCTGGGGGATTGGACTAAAAGTTGCTAATTTCTCTATTGCCATCTCCTCAAATACTTTGGACTTAAATTCTGTCATAATTGTTCATTCTTCATTTCCCAGTTTTCTCTAGCAATGAGAAATAGAATTAGGCAAAAGTGAAATTAGAATATTAAGTAGTTCTGCTTTTTGTCATATGCTAACATTCAGTTCAGCAAACATTCCATTCTAGCTAAAAAATGTTTTGTGCTATCTTTAGCATTTTCCCATTTTAGATACAACGAAACTAAGGCTCAGAGAGAGAATAAGTATCTTGCCTAGGCTCACACAATTAGATTGGGGCAGAGATGGAACTCTAGAACTTCAACCCAGGTTTTTCATTCCAAAGTCCAACATTCTTTCTGTTACACTGTGTTCTTTAGATGATGAATACTTTACCCCCTTAAAATAATCCAAGATGGATGTAATAATGTGAATGTCAAGGTTTAGGATATAGTTGGTGACTAGGAAGGAAGTATAATCCACATGCCTATTATTATTTAAAATGAGAGCCCAAGTACAAAAAGCAAAAGAAGAGCAAGTATGTGGAAAGGGGAGAGCACTGGGGCAAAGGATGAAATAGAGATTTAAGTAAAGTACTTTATTATACCTTTAGAAATAAGAGCTAATGACTAGCATTTTATATAGTATTTTAATGTTTGCAAAGCACTTTACTATTTTCTTATTTTATCCTCACAACCCTGGGGGTTAGGTTTTATTATCCCTATTTTATAGCTTGAGGAAACTGAGATGTAGGGACTTGTTATGAGTCTTATAGCTAGTAAGTGTCTGAGGTCATATTTCAACTTATCTTCCTGACCACAGGTCCAGTGCTCTGTCTGCTGTACTACCTAGCTGCCTAATGACTTTTTATCCTGTACTTCAAATAAATATGAAAAATAGATAATAAAAGAAAAATAGAAATAGATTCTGTCACTGAAATAGACAAATAGATAATAAAAGAAAATTTAGAACTTCAGGGAAACTTTTTATACGCTCTTTAATCATTTATTTTGTTCTCATTGTGTGTGTGTGTGTGTGTGTGTGTGTGTGTGTGTGTGTGTGTAACACTAGGATGCCAGACATTCAGCCGAAGGTGAAATATATACTAAGCTCAATCAAAAAATTGATGAATTTATTCAGCTTGCTGACTATGACTGGACAATGTCTGAGCCAGATGGAAGAGCCAGTGGATATTTAATGGATCTTATTAATTTCTTACGAAGCACCTTTCAAGTGTTTACTCATTTGCCTGTAAGTATGAAAATTTAAAAATGACTTGTTTTTATTAAAGTCAAGCTCTCTGTAATATGCCATTAGGAGATGATTTTTAATGAGGGAGTTGAATAGAAATTAATTTGGTTTAAAATAACTTTGCTAGTTTATTTCTAGCTTCTTTCTATTACCTAATTAAGATTTATGAAAATATTGAAATTCTAGATATTAAAAAAACTTGGCATTTACAGCATAATACTAAATTAAATATGCATATTGCTAAAAAGTTAAAACAAATGGCTTTTCTTGCCAGAAAGGCAAACAGAAAGTTGGGTTATATTATAAATAAATGACTTAAAAACAAAACAGAAGATATTCTCCTTCAGTACAAAATATGGTGTGATTTGTATGGTTGGCAAGACATAATACTCTGGAAAAGATCCAAAGGGGGCAGCTAAAGTGAGCAGGAGTCTTTTATTTGAGCATAGATTAAAAAGAATAGACTCTCCAGTCTAGAAAGATAATGACTAAGAAAGAATCTTATTTGAATGTATGGCGATCATAAGGGATATAAATATGGTGAGCTTGAATTTGTTACCCAAAGACTAGAACTAATTTCAGAGTTTACAAAAAGTAATTTTAGAATAAAAAGAACTACTTTAAAGAATGGTCAATAAATTTATTGAACTTCTTATTCCAAGAGAGTATATTAACAGGAAATATAAATAATAGATTTACATTCATATTTTTCCTCAATACCATTTTAAAAGAGGAAATATGATTTTTTTTCTTTTCCATCAAAAGACTGCTTTGTAAGTACCACCCACCATAGGAGCTTTGATAGAGACTTGGTCAGTTAAGGACATTTTAAATTTGAAGGCTTTTTGCTAAAAGTGGAGAAAGAGTCCCTAAAGAGAGCTAACAAGGGTTAACTGCTCTGACCAAGGCATTAGCAGCTCTTTAAGGGAAGATATTATGCTACTTACTAAAGTATGTGGTTATATTGTCTCTTGTCACTGTGAATTCACTCTTCTCCCACCTGGGAACATTTTACCTATGTAACTCTCCTTCTACACACACACACACACACACACACACACACACACGCTTTAATGTCAAGATTTTTACTGAAAAGGAGAGTTAAAGATTATGTATGTTAATAAACTAGTTTTAAGAAAGCTTTAAATAAATGCACGAATATATCAATAACGATATTAAGAGAAGTTATGAATGTTTGTGATAAATCTCAACCTTTTCCTATTGGTATCTGGTAGGGCACTTGTGCTGTCTCAGAGAACATCCCTTAGTGACACTGTCAGAGACAGAAACGTGGACCAAATAGACCATTGTTCTGACATAATATTGCACTTCTTGTGATCTTAGGTAAATTTTCATGTATCATAGTTTTTTTTTAAAATCATCTAATGCATATTTATCCCTTGTAAAATAAAACTAGTTTATACTGATATCATAGCAAGTGTTCATTGAACAGCAGTTGCCATCATTATCCGAACGAAAACATCATCAGCCTACTTTCAAGTTTACCAATTATTTTTAGTTATTGAAGATCTCTTTCATGTATGCTTCTTCTTTGCCAAGGCTTTACATGGATGGTTGTTTTCATTTGGTATGCTCTAAATTAAAAATTGTATTCTAACCACTGTTCTCTAACTGTAACTCCTCAAATGGACTCCAGATTAGGAGGGACTAATATAAAATTATTTCATGAAAAGAGATAGTTAACATTTTGCCTTTGTGTGTGTGAAAGGAACTGTCATGGTGTAGTGTAATTGTATACCCTTACACTGATTTGACTACTAATTACAAAGTATTAAGTATTGTCTTAAGCTGTTCTACAGTTATTTCCCATCACTGCTTATGTTTCCCTTTTCATCATTTAAGTATAGGCTTTCGTATTCATTTTTATAAGTAGTATACTTCCTATTAAAAATTGTAATGCTTTTAATTAGTAACAGTGAAAGCTTTTTCTTTCTTTTTTTGGCTTATAAACAGTTCTGTACATTTGGTGATATGCTCATCTGTAGATTTGTCTTCTTATGAAGAATCATTAATTGAGGTGGTATAGTGACTTTGAAATAGAATTTGATATGTTACAGAGATTAATAATCAAAAACACAAGTGTTCTAAGTATATGTGGTTCTCCAATTTTTTTTCCATTCTATCTGTAAAATTTTATGTAATTCTGTTGGCTTGATCATTTAGAGATGAGTAACTCTCTGCAAAAGAAATAGTATATATTTTGAAAAATGTAGATTAAATGTTTCAATTGCAGGGTGTGTCCAGATTAGGTAGAAGTAATAGTAATGATAAGAATAAAAAGAACAATTAGAGGAAGAGGAGGAGGAGGAAGAGGGAGAAGAGGAGGAGAAGGAAGAAGAAGAAAAGAAGAAGAGGAAGAAGAAGAAGAAAGAAGAAGGAAGAAAGGGCAAGGGGAAGAAGACCACCAGTACTACTACTACCACCAATGTCAGGGAGACAGTTTAAACCCATTATGGTTTTGGCTAGCCTTAAATACTTTATTATCCCTCCTAAATAAAATATTATCATCTTTACTAAGTAGATCTAAGTGTAACTTCAAAATTAAAGACCAAGGTGAACCAACAAACATCTTATTAATCATTTGATATAAATCAATTATATCAAAGTAGAAGGCTTTACCAAAACACATTAAACAATTACTTCATATTATGGAAGTTTTCTCCAGTTATATAAAAATATTTGTATTTTGTGAGCATAAAATTCTTTTTTTATTGTGCAATTATGTATACCATTTCCATATTAGTCTTTTTGTACAAGAAGACATGAATAGAAGAAAAAATGAAAGAAAGTGAAAAATAGCATGCTTCAGTCTGTATTCAAACAATGACAGTCTGTATTCAAACAATGAAAGTTCTTTCTCTGGAGGCAGATAGTATGCTTCATCATTAGTCCTTTGGGATTGTCTTGAATCATTGTATATATCATAAAATTTTTAATTAATTTATTTTTAGTTTTTAACATTCACTTCCATAAGATTTTGAGTTCTAAATTTTCTCCCCTTTACTCCCTCCTTCCCGAGACAGTTTGATATAGGCTCTACATATATAATCATATTAAACATATTTTCACATTTGTCTTGTTGTAAAGAATAATAAGAACCAATGGGAGGAACCACAAAGAAGAAGAAACAAAAAAAAAAAAAGAGAGCAAATAGAATGCTTTGATCTGCGTTCAGACTCTATAATTGTTTTTTTTTCCCTGAATGTGGATAGCATTTTCCATCATGAGTCTTTTGGAGTTGTCTTAGATCCTTGCATTGCTGAGAAGAGCTAAGTCTATCAAAGTTAGTCATCACACAGTGTGGCTGTTACTGTGTACAATGTTCTCCTGGTTGTTCTCACTCAGCATCAGTTCATGTAAGTCTTTCTTTCTTATGGAACAATAGTATTCCATTACATTCATATACCACAGTTTGTTAAGCCATTCCCCAACTGATGGGCATCCCCTCAATTTCCAATTCTTGGCCACTACAGAAAGAGCTGCTATAAATATTTTTGTACGTGTGGGTCCTTTTCACATTTTTATGATCTTTTTGGGATACAAATCTAGAAGTGGTACTATAGCATAAAATTCTTAACATGCACTAGTGAAAGCTAGAAGTTGAAAGCTTTGAGCTTAAATCACAAAGTCACATTGAACCAGTGGATGAAAGCATTACCTCCAGATATCTTGGGCTTTTTCAAGTGGGGCACAACAAACAAAAATTTTTCAAAGAATAGGCTGGAATTGAATATGTTTAGAGGCTTACTGGCATCCTGAAATCAATACAAATGTGAAGAGCATGTTTAAAGCTTGGCCTTAATGTACACTTTCAGAATTGTAAAGTGAGCCATAACAGATTTGGAAGGTATTTGGAGAAAAACACATGTGATATGAAACATAGTGCCTACTAGAAGTCAACTATAGAAAGACTAACAGTTCTTCATGAAAGAGGAGGAAAGAATTGATAGATGTGCTTAGTGCACATTATAGATAGGTCAAAAACTTATGAAATCCTCCTGGAATAAGCAGTCATCCTTTCATTAAACAGTAGTAAAGGATAGTAACAGGCACATATCATTGGATTTATTGAATATAACTGAAAGTGCTTTACTTCTGGATGGATCCTACAGAATGGTTTAGATTAAAGAATGCAATCGAAAGGCCCTCCATGGGTGACCATGGGTTCATCTTCATGAACTTAGGCACTAATTTGTTGAACAGAAAAGCATCGAACAATAAATGCCTTGTTCATATGAATTTATTTGTGGAAACATGTATTTATGATAATTCAAGGACAGCTTATTCTAATCAGAAATGACAGATGTATTATTATTAAAGAGCCTGGACTTTATGATCAATGGAGATTATAAAGGAATGAATGAAAAAGCATTTACTAAATGCTTACAATGTACAAAGCATGGTGCTAAATGCTAGGGATACAAATAAATAAAACAATCTCTGCTCTTAATGAGCTCACATTCTACTAGGGGAGATAAAACATACATGAGGTTTAAGCTGAAAGATAGGCCCAGTGTGCAATGGCAAAACAGTAATGCATCTTCTTTAATGTCATTTCCATTGCTAAAACGTCCATTTCTGATTTTGAAAAATTAATGTTAAATTCATTTCACCAGAGTGGTGAAGAAAACTTTCTTTTCTGGGTTTACAGTATCTGTAGATGCTGAGGAAGGGAGCTACAGCACTTATAGAGGCATCTATAAGGAAATGGTAGATACGTGCAACATATCATTGCATACTTCAAAAATTTAGCATCTATCAAATGCTTGGGAAGATGTGACCTGCTAGCTAGAATTATGCATCCGAAGCTTGCTATTCTTCATGGACTGGCAGATGACTAATCCCTTTACCCAGAGCAGTTGTGATAAATAACACCCCTTCCTGCCCTTAGAGTTATTTCATTGGTGTGTGGAAGCTTGTAAGATGGGTAGCATTGCAAATAGGGACCTTGTAAACTCATGGAAAACTCAACAAATAAA